GCTGGTCACAAGTATGCACTATGCTGCTTTCTGCCTTAGCTGACAACTCTGAGGCTTAAAGAGGAAAAAAAGGCATCCTTTGATGAGAACTGGAGCCAGTACGACACTTTTAGAAACAAGACATTGGCTTTCTTGAGCCTTAAGTTGAAGCCTGACCCCCTTTTTTTCCTCTTAAGAAAGTATTATTGTGTATGTATGATGGGAGGGATCATGTGTACCACAGCATGGGTATGAGGGTCAGGTCTACACTGTAGAGTTGATTTTCTTCTTCCACTTTAAGTGGGTTCTGGGGATTGAACTCAGGTCATTAGGCTTGTGCAGCAAGGACCTGCAGCTGCTGAGCCAGCTCATCACCCCCATCCTTTTGTCTCTTGATACCTTATATCATATTCGATTGAAAGCCAACCTGAATTTTTTAAAATTTCCTTTCATGCTATGGGCATTGGTGTTTTGCCTTTGTGTATGTCTGTGTGAAGGTGTCAGGTCCCTTGAAACTCGAGCTATACAGCTCTGATCTTCCATGTGGGTGCTGGGAATTGAACCTGAGTGCTCTTAACCACTGACCCATCTCTTTAGCCTGCATCTCTTTAGCCTGCCAAACTGAATTTTAAGATGTATCATAGATCAAATAGCCTTAGGTCAAGTAAAATTAAATTCTGTAATAAATTGAGAAATGTTAAAATGCAGGCTGGTGGGAGCTCACAATATAAAAGCCCTTGCTGCCAAGACTGAGGACCTAAACTCCAGGTCCTGGACCCACACAGTGGAAGAACCGACTCCCCAAAGTTGTCATCTGACCTCTATATCTCCTTCCAAATGCACAAACAAAATGCAATAAAAAATTGTAATTAGATGCCAATAAGCAATCACATGGTCCTGGAACATACTATGCAGCTCTTGGCTAAGTTCAGTTTCAATTTTCATTTCAGATATATTATGTGTCTGTGCCAAGCCCTGGGAACACAACTAAAATATGGCTCTGAGTTTTGAAGTCTTCCACAGACCTATGCAAGCTCAAACCTACCCGACAGCAAGCTGGCAGATGAATTGGTAGATAAGATCTTTAATTTTCACTCATGAAGAGATATAGCCATTCAAAGATGCTATCTTTCTAAGCCATTGGGACTTTACCTTTCATGGTCACAAAATTATTGTTTTATTTCCCAGCATGGAATCTGCTAAGCCAAAGCTTCTCTTTTTAACCTTTTTCTTTCCTCTTAGGAAGACCATCCCAAGACCTCTGACTTAAATCTCACTGGATAAAAAAACAATGTGTATGATCACCTCTGGTTGCAATGGAGTCTGGGAAGGCAAGGACAGTCATTTTGTTTACTGACTTCTATACAGAATAACTAAAACGAGGTGGCTGGTTGAAAATGCATATTAAATAAAGCAAATTATACTGTCAACTACAGACACAGGAAGAGAGCATCAGCAAGTGGAAGCTGCTTGAACATAATTACAAGATGTTCCAAAAGCATAGCATTATTTGGGGCCAGTGACATTAGGAAGGGCTGACCATTTAACTCATTAAGTGGACAAAAGAAAAGCATCCCAGTAAGGGGAAAAATGTTAACAGGACCAAACAACTGAAGCACAAGCAATCTGGGGGCGGGGGTCAGTCTAACATACAGAAGTGGGGAAGGATGGATGTGTAAAATTGATGCTGGATATAGGGATCTAAGCGCTTGTCTCTCATCCATCATCAGGCCACAGAGGCCTGAGATGAAGTGCAGACTTCTTGTTTCTTTGGAGACTCAGTTGTGTCATGTTTTTCAGGAAACTGTCTTATGAGAGGATGCTTTGCTGAGAGCAGGCTTGTGGCATTTTTCTGGAAGTTGCCTGGTAAAAGGGCATGTGGAATTTTGCTGGAGGACATGTGATGTTTGGAAAGAGTATAACTCAACAGATAGTGGACAAGTGCTCTTGTATTGGTTCGCCTTGCAACTCTTTGCCAGTCGTTGTTGGTCTTCACTGATGACACTCTTAAATTGGCTCACCTTGCTTTCTTTGCTGATCTTCACTAGTCAAGACTTCATAGAAAAAATGCACCAAAAAACTTCTGCTGGTATTCCAGCTGATTCTGAGGACACATGCCAATCAACAGAATCTCATGGTTTCTTTTCAATCAAGCCGCTGCTACTGACTCATGTTTGGTGTTTGCTGAGTGGACTGGACTGCTGACAACAAAGATTGGAATCGCCCCAAAGAACTATTAACAGGTCCACAACCCCACTTCCTATTAATCTTTTGTTTCCTCTACCTCTGGTAGGTGGTGGGGTGGAAGGGAGGTTAAAGTAGGTTTTGAAAAAATCTAAGCCTACAGGTGCTCATGCTGGATGCCCCTCCCCTCTGCTACCTTTTGTATGGAGAAACACAGCTGTGAGTACGTCTTTTTCAATACCTCTTTACTCACAACTACAATGCTCTGATGACATCACCACTTCTTTGTAGAACAGTGCTGGGTACACTTCACTGAGCTCACATTCTTAGTGTTTGATCTATGCTATGTGACAGAACCACACAATCTCAAGAGAGCCCATCCACTGCCATCAAGTTCTCACCTCAGGGCCAGGCTTAATCTCCACACTTAGAGGCTGAATAGGGATGATCTGTGAAGATAGCCTGGACTACTGAGGGAAATCCTGTCTTAGCTGTGGTGTGTTTGTGTACCGCAATGGATGCACATGTAACAGCATTATTTAGCTATAAAGGCAATGAAGTATTGACATATGGTACAATAGAAATAAAAAGCAAAAAGCATCAAGGTTAGCCCAGTGGCAGAGCACTTGCCCAACAAGCTCAAGGTTCTGGGTGTGATCACAGTAACGCAAAGAAAACACTATGGTAAGAAGCTTCGAGGTGAAAGAGTCAAACACAAGAATGTCTTGTTTTCAAACTAAAGGTGATTTGTAAATGATACTTAAACTCCATTATAAGTATTTGCTTTAAAATAGTTAACTTTATTATGTGAACTTCACATCAATTAAAAAAAAAAAAAAAGATGTCACTGCTTCCTATACCAAGATGTCAAGTAGGTGGTATTTTTTAAATTTTTATTTTTTTTAAATCGTAAGTAGCCTTTGTCATACAGTTCTGCTCCTGTTTGCCTTTAAATGTTTATCCCACTGTTTTAGTAATTGTTTAAAACTGGCCTCTGGTTCATCCGACTATCTAAGCTGCAGCAGCTCTGCCTAGCCCAGCCGCCATGCTCGCTGCAGCTAGAACCGGCCCGCCAGAAACACCAGCCTTGCCACCCACTAGATGCCAGCATGAGACATGGTTCTGCCAATCTTCCAGGCTGTCTCTGCAAGGCAGGGCATTGCCCAGACCATTCCGCCATCCATGCCGGCCCAATAAGAGAATGAGACTCTAATTCTTATAGATTAATCAAAGGCTTTATATGTTTGATAATGAATAATAATGAGATGCTGATACAAAGAGAGTTGTATCCCAATTAGCTAACCTAATTATAAGTTTATAAGTTGTTCCCTACGAGTGCTCTCCATACCTGTGTGGTTCTCCATCCTCCTACTTCTCTGCCCTCTCTAGCTCTTCCTTTTTTCTCTTCCTTTCCCAACTCCTCCTCCTCCTCTCCTTACTCCTCCCACCTTAGCTCCTCCTACATCCCACCACTAAGTTCCAACTTATGATGACCAAAGGAGTGAAGAGTAAATGCACAATCAGGTGACCCTGTTATCTTCCAACATCTCTGGCATAAAGGGATCAAATACAGATGTGAGGAAACAAATCATCAAAATGGGACTGTGTGTCAGCAGGAAGGGGTTTAGTGTCGCCTACCATCATGTATTTTCGCTGTGGTTTAGCAAACAACTACTCACTGGACTACATGCATGTTTCGAGACTTGGATGCCAACACAATTTAAGCAATCTTTGAAAGTTCCAAGTGCTGGGTACCCAGAACTGTCGGGTATGTTTGCCTGTGTGCTAATTTCCTGGGACTTTGTAACCAGGTGTCATAATGGCCAAGGCTTAAACAAGAGAAACGAATTTCCTACCAGCTCTGGAAGCCAAAAGTCTCCAAGTGTAGTGAGGCAGAACATGTTTCCTCAAAGGCTCAGGGAGAAGTCCTGTCCCTGTCCCAGCTTCTGTGGTCCCAGGAAGCCCTTCCTCTCCTCAAGGCAGTGCAGCCTGTCTCCTCCTCCATGAAGCCTCGATCTCTGGGTTCCACCTTTCATCTTCTTATGAAGAAACCATCGTTGATTCAGAGTCTATCCTTTGCGGGAATGGTTCTGCTCTAGACCCTGAACTAACTTTTTACCTTCAGACCACTTCAAGTAAGGTCACATATGACAATCTAAGTAAACATGAGTTTGGGACACTTCATCTCAATCGTGTAAGCTACATTAAAAAAAGAAAAACCTCTGAAATTCAAACTTAGCTTCACAGATTTATAGTAATTTTTCCTCTGGGGAAAAACAAAAACCCAGAACTTTATTAAGAAAAAAGTGAAATCAAACAAACCCACAAAATCAATCTGAGCTTATCTATGAGCTAAAATTGAAGTAATTAAAAAAGAAACCGACCTCTTGGTAGAACCATTAAGTTGGCGCTGTGTCATTTATAATGTATTAGCCTTAAGAACAACACTGGTGTTACACTAATGCAACAATTCAACAAAGCCTGACCCAGGAGTAGACAGAAGCCTTAGACTTTGTCTTTCACTAAGAAAAGCTTTGCAAGAGATTCCAGAGGTGGAGAGGTGGCTCAGCTTCCAGTACACAGGTGGCCCACAACCTACCCTAACTCTAGTCCCAGGGGATGTGATTCCCTCTTCTGGCCTGAGTGAACCAGGCATTCATGTGGTGCATAGGCATGCATGCAGACAAAACACTTATACACCTGAAACACATGAAACTTCTTTAAAAGACAGAAAGATTGATCCCTAAGGTCATCTTCCCCCGTTATGCAGTGTTGGGGGCGGTAAAGAACAAACTCTATCGCTGAGTTATACATCCCTAGACCAGCCACATTTACAATTAGTTTCCAAACTGTGGATGAAACTTTATTATCATCATCAGTGTACAATACAATCATTAGTCAAATATCAAGTACTTGAAATAGCATAATGGAAATACAAATTTAAATGCTAAGCAAAAAAGATAATGGGTAGGTAACTTTGTAAGCAAATTACCAAATAAAAAGACAACACTGGCTGCCTGTTGACTTTTCGAACATCTTCCACATAACACCCAAGGAAATGTTTTATACTATAAAATTCTATATATTTTTAGGAATTTCAAGATTTATATGAAAAATGAAATTAATTTAAAAATTTTTGTTAGAAAACATTAAATATGAACCCAATGTAGAAATCTGAAGGTAGACTATCCTTTGGCAGAAAATAAATAGATACAAACATCTTAAAATAAGTACAGGTTCAATAGGATCATGGGAAAAATATATATCTTTACATTTTGTATTAATACTGAAATCAGATCAATACAGATTTAATATCATTTTAGGCTAACAATAACTCTGCAACACAAACTTATGAGTGGAAAAAATAAAATGTAGGAGGAAAAAATTTCTGCATATATTAAACTTCACAGACACCAATATACACTATTTATATGCAGGTCATGTGGCATGTTTTATTATTCCAAAACAGTTGAGCTTTACTGGCTGGTCCCCACTTAATGAGTACGCAGTATTTACACTGACTAAATAAAGCTTTTATAATTTAGACAAAAACTGAACATGAAATGCACAAACACTAGCATGAGCTTATTAAACACACTTTGGAAAGGAAGGGAAGACATGTTCATCTACACAAACATCATCAAGAGCAGCTCTGGACTTTTACATTTATTCAATCTTTAAAGAGCAGAAGGTTGTTCTCGAAACAGGAAGGTCCTGTGTTGCAGTCCATCCTTGTAAGTACGTCAGTGAGCTCAGCTGAAAGGAAAAGGCTACACGAGTAACAGAACATGAGGACTCAGGACTGCAAACACCTTCCAGAGTCCTGCACCTGAAAACCAGATATTCACAAGATACAGGCTTACAGGGACTGCCTACTCTCTCTTCTGTGCTGGCTATTTTATGCAGTAGTAGGTTCTAGAATAAAGTTTCTTTGAAAAAATAAAGTACTTATAACCAAGTATCTGTAAATAGATAAATGACAAAATTTCCAAATTGTCTCCCAATGGATTTTTTAATAAAGATTAAGGGCTTAAAAAATATATAGAAGTGCATTCATGTAAAAATGTTTAAAAATTAAGTTTAGAACATTTTCCAGTGTAAATATCATGGATCTGAAACACGTGCATCTGTTTTCTAGTTTGTGTTGTGTAAAAAGTTGATACTATAAAGTACTGTGCAGTCTTAAGAGGAAATCCCAATGGGTTTACCACCAATCCTCACGGTACGTGGGAACTTGTACTATGAACTAATTTAAAGCATGAGCTTCAGAGAAGCAGCCTGACCTCATCCTGTCAGCCTCCTGTCCACCAAACCGCTGCCTGCTGTTTCTGCAAAGGCTCAGAATGACTTCTGAGGGGATGCACAATTCCTTCACAATGACACGTGAAAGCCTGGCACTATGACAGCTTTCCAATGGAGTGTCAATCACTTCTGTAAGAAGTTAACGCCCACCTTATACTTGACACCCATGATGGTTTCTATCACATCAGAGTATGGGGAGTGTCTCCTGGCTCAGATTCACTGAGAATCTCTAAGAAGAAAGTGCAGTGTCTGCAGATGTGGCAGGCAGGAAATCCAAAGGACAGCACCTTCACTAGACATCTGCCAAAGTCCCTAGAAAACAATTCTAAATACCAGGGACACTAGCATGAGAGAATGCCCTTCCTAGGGAAGACTAACATCTCGTGGGGCATTCCTTGGCTCTCAGCTGTCAGAGAACTGGCTAACTACTTTGCAATATTTGCATTTACATGGTTTTCACTGTTAATAAAAGAAAATATTTTTTTACCTTCCAAATTGTTCTTGCTTCTTCTATAGACAAGTATATGCTAATTACTACTCAACATTACACTGAGAGCAAACCTGACAGTACTGCAAACACAACTGTAATTTAAGGAGCCAACAGGAAATACGCTGGCAAGCTAAAGGCTTGCACTAGAAGATGTTCGCCTTTTAAAATAACAGGGTGTGGGAAATTCGGGAGAGAGGGGAGAGAAGTGCAGACAAAAACGTTTAAAGGTCTTCAGTGCTCCTCAAAATCACATCTTAGAGAAAACAGCGGTTTCTTTAAAGAGAAAATGTCATACCATGTAGTGTCATAAGGCTACTGAATGAGGACCCAGAAAGAACAGCCAGACTAACTCAGAACATCCAAGCTGCCTTTGACCAACAGACCAGCTTTTCAAGTGAAGTGGACTGGAAAAACAACCCTTTTATGGCCTTCAGGGTAAGGTAGGGTTTTGTGCTTTATTTATTTATGGTTCTTTTTGACTGAGAGGGGAAATTTAATAATTCAGATTAGAATCCCCTGGGTTAAGTGGCACACCCATGAAGACAGCAGGTCCCAATGTCTTTAAAGGAGTGGCTGCTGGTGGTAACTTGCTTGCGGCTGTGCAGCTGGAGGTGCAGGAACTGCCACTGGAAAGCCAGCCAGCTGAGGCAAACTGGATGCTGTGTGCTGGAAAGAAGACAGCTCTGCAGACATCCCCATGGGCTGTGTGTACGCAGCTGTGCCAGCAGCCGCCTGAAGACGAGAGCTCTGGCTCATGTAAGGAGGATTGGAAACAGTGTCCTGTCCAGTGCTGCAAGTAAAGTTTCACAAAGAAAATCACATTTACTTTTGCCCAAGTTGCAGCAACAGATCACCATGACAAACAGGCCTTTTCCATTTTTGTTTCCAGCTTACGTAGCCATCATATTAGTAATTTAGCTTGTTGGTTGGTTGGTAGGTTTTTTAAGACAGTATTTCTCTGTGTAGCCCCAACTGTCCTAGAATTCACTCTGTAGACCATGCTGGCCTTGAACTCACTAAGATCTGCCTGCCTCTGCCTTTTGAGTATTGAGATAAAGGCATGTATCACCCCTGCCTGGCATAATTATTTTATGTCTACCAGAAGGCCAGGACAGGAAAGCTGACTCAGGGTGTGAAGACAGTGTTCATTGTGAAAGCACAAAGAGTAAACCTGGATCTCTAGCGAACCCCAAGGAGGGAGACAGACTCAGGCTTTTTGTCTGACCAGTCTAGCCAGACAGATAAGTATTTCAGATAAGTGAGAGACTAGACGGCAAAAGCTAGGTGGGTGGAGGTAGACTGCTCAGCAGCTAAGAGCACGGGCTGCTCTTCCAGAAGAGCAAGCTTGATTCCCAGCACCCACACGGCAGTTCACAACCATCTGTAACTATTTCCAGTGGATCTCAGACCCTATTTTGGCCTCGAAGGCATCAGGCATACATAAGGTCCAGACTGAGACTGAAGAAGACATCCTGACTTCTAGTTGTCATACATGCCCATATGGGCAGCAAACTAGCAGGTAAAGGTACCCACAGAAACACCACTATACAATACACAAAATTAAAGAAAAAAGAAAGGAGAGGGAGTAAACAGTGGCAGGCACAAGGTCACAAAAGTGGCCAGAGAAGCACCTGAGACAAGCTGAGGAGATGGGTGAGGAGGGTAAGGATTCCATACAAGCACATCGAGGAAGGGCAAAGAGCTACAGTGGAGAAAGGCCTAGCTCCAAGTAGGAGAAAGAAATCTGACAACAAGGAAACTGTTCCTTCTACCTGAGACGACAGTGAGCAATGGCTGCCTGCCTGCCTGCCTGCCTGTCTGCTTGTCTGCCTGTCGGTCTGTCTGTCTGTCTGTCTTTAAGGGCAGAGTCTTACTTTATAGTACTATGTAGACCAGACAGGCTTTGCACTCACAGGAATCTGTGTGCCTCTTCATTGAAAGTACTTAAGATTTTACATTTTTTATTTAAGCCTCGGGGTTCCATGCAGTAGTTATAGTTACAATGAGATGATATCTTGTAATCTCTTGTACATTATAATAGACTTTCAATAATAAGCTAAGGGAAAGGAATGTTCACAAAGCAACAGCAGGTAAGATTAGAAGGCTTATTTAACTAGCTTTCTCCAAAACCTCTCACTCAAAGTTCTGAAAGCACTGAGGATGCAAACTGCACTTGCCTGTGACTCCTGTGGCAGCTACTGAGAAAGCAGGGGCCTGCTCAAGATGCACCCCATGCCATCACACCCGCAAGCTTCCCTGTGACAAGAGCTTAGCATACTCAAAAACAGAACAGTGTGGTCTGCATCAGACCCTTGCAGAGTGTTTTGGGACTGACCACACATCTCTGCATCAGACCCCTGCATGGAGTGCTTTGGGACTGACCACACATCTCTACATTAGACCCCTGCACAGAATGCTATGGGATTGACAACACAGACAGACTGATTCACTCACACTCAAGAGGGAAACAAACCATACCAAACAGAAGGATTTTGCTTTTCTCCTATTTCTACTATGACATAAATATATTTAAAACATATTTAATTCTAAATCACACCAAATATGTTGCTTACAGTAGAGGATTAATGTTGATGATGTACCAGGTCTTTCTCCAAAATACCTACTGGTACTCAGAATAACAAAACCATAGTGTAACCCAGAGATACAGGTTCACTTACTTTTCAGGTAGTTTTTATGCCTACTCATGGACTTTGATGAAAACGGACCTTAGAGAGCAACTACAAATAACACCGAATATATATTTTCTGTCACAAAATAAATAGATAGGAAGATTTAAAATATGATTTTCAGAGAATGCTGGTATAGAAATAATAAACCAAATTCCATTGCCCAATCTTACTTCCTTTTACAGGTGAAAGCAGTAACTTTTTTTTTTTTGAATATTTAGGAGTACATACAGGTAAGTGGCCCCCCTAGCACTGCTTCATTAGGCTAACTTACCACAGCAAGGTACTAAGAATACCATGGCATCAATCCCTATGAAGGCCATTACAAGATAAAGATTTTTGCCTAGGGTCTTAACTGTGAGTTTAAATCTTAGCAGCTATCAAGGTATTATTTAAAGCAGCACCATTCTACCCAGTGAGAGCAGCAATGGCCACTTCAGCAACTCCACTTAAGAATAAGAACGGGAGAGCTGGCACAGCAGCACACACCTTTGATTCCAGGACTCAGGAGGCAGAGGGGATTGACCTCTTAAGAGTTCAAAGCCAGTCTGGTCTACACAGTGAATTCTAGGACAGATAGGTGTATGTAGAGAAACCCTGTCTGAAATAAACAAGCAAGCAACAACAAAAGTAAATATTGGAAATGTTACTGTAAAGAGAAGAGTATGTAAGTTCTTGTTCTAAAACTAAGGAAAATTAACACAGCTCTCCAAAACTTACCTTAAATATGGAGGTTGGACAGTATGTGCTGTTACTGAGTTCATATTTGGAGGCAGAGATCTCAGCGAGCCAATAGGATCAGGTCCTAGGTTATAGGTCTGGGCAACATTTACTTGGTGAATGCCATGACCCAGGTAGTTTCCACCATGTGACTGGACTGGATATGTCTATTAATCAAAGAGAAAAAACTTTGCTGTCTCAATGATTTAACTAAGCATACCTAAAACTTTAAGACATAAAAGAAATAAAATGTTTAACTATTCAGGGTACAATCTGATTCTACTGATCTTTCCACACTGGAACAAAAAGTGGAGAGTCTCCAATTTATGATATCTAATCAATGAACTTTTGCAATGTGTTTAATTGTTCTTTGATTTTCCAGGAGTTTTGAAGAAAAAAGTGGGAGCTGTATTTTTAAGTAGAACGTTGGAATCTATCAAGAGTGCCTATTAACATACACTGTACCATAGAACCTTCCCTTGCAGGGAAACCCATGATTACTCCAGATCACCATGAGAATGACTACTCTAACTCCCCCACATTGGAGAGAAGGCTGAAACAGAGTACCTCTCTGCCTGTGGGATGGCACTGGTAGGTGTGGTCTTGCTGGGGAATTGTGTCACTGGGGGGTGGGTTTTGAGGTTTCAGATGCTCAAACCAGGACGTACATATGTGTGTGTGTGTGTGTGTGTGTGTGTGTGTGTGTGTGTGTGTGTGTCTGTTGCCTGGTGATCCAGATATCAAACTCTTGGCTCCTTCTCCAGCCATGCCTGCCATGACAACAGACTAAACCTGTGAACCTGTAAGGCAACCCCAATTAAACGTTTGCCTTTATAAGAGTTGCCGTGGTCATGTGTCTCTTCACAGCAATGACTAAGACGCCTGCCTTCAGAAGAGATGAGAAGGAGCTATGAAATAAGACAAAGGGCATTCTTAGGAAACTGCAAAAAGTCACTGGATTCTTATGTAAACCTATGTAATTTTCACAGTTAACAGCCCTGTAAGGACAGAGTCTACTGGCCTACTCACAACAGCATTCAAAAAGCAATCCATATGTTTAATAAATACATTACAGTACTAATCATTGCCCAAGTTTTATTTAAAGCAAAGATTACATTAAAATCTAGTATAATAGGAATGCCAAATAAACTACATTAAATGCAATGATATCCTCTTTAGCAATGACTGGCAATCCACTGCCAAAAGGCTGAGACGTAGGAACCGGCTTCTGGGGCTCACCACTTGTAAGTGTCCTTCTCATACATAACCCATCCACTCTTAGTATATATGTTTTTCAAAACAGAATAGGAATTTTTGAAACTTCAAACATTTCAAGCAAACTCACACATGAGTTAATGTATTAAGAGGCTGTGTAAAAACAGTAAATGTTAGAAAGCCTAAAGAAGGAGAAAAGATCAGCTGTACAATCTGCAGCCCAGAGACCTAGCACAGGAGCGACCTCCCTTTACAGACATGAAGCAGATATACGGTTCTCTGTACAGTGGAGCAGACATTTCTAATTTATTCCAATTTCACAGCAGCAACAAACATCTTTTTAAAAACAGAAGTAATGGTGAATAAACTTCAGGAATCTTTTTTTTTAACCCAGAAATCCTTTCTAAGCTCATATGTAATCTTCAAAAAGTTCAGAGCATGGCATATTTGATAAATGCTTCTCCTTCTCTGGTGTGACAGTTACCACAGTAACCATTTAAAAAAAATACTTAGCAATTACATTGTGTTACATCATCTAATTTATGCACCCACATTCTAGTTGTTCTCCTTGGTGTCTCCTTCACACACTCCATTGCATGCCAGCTTTCATAGATTACATGAATTTTGCTCATCCACACTTAATTTAAATTTAATTGACCAAAATTTGAAAAGTGCTTCAGAATGGGGATACTGAAAAACTGAAGTATTCTCATGTCAGCTGGAGGCATAGGAAGAACTGGGAAGCGATGCTGCCAATGGGCAGCTTCTGGCAACTGCATCTCACAGCCCTGAGCAAAGCTTCGTCACACAGACTTTCAAGTCGTGAATCTAAGAAAATGTAAAGCATGCTCTGAGGATAAAAGAAGCTCATTAACTAATCTTTAAATAATCACCTAAGACATATTTGAAAGGTTTTTAAAGAATATCCGATTTCTTGTTAAATAGTACCTAGAGGATTTTCACAGCAGGCTCTACATAAAAGGATCCACACTTGGGGCTGGACAGATGGCTCAAAGGTTAAGAGCACTGGCTGTTCTTTCAGAGGACCCAGGTTCAATTCCCAGCACCCACATAGCAGCTCACCAATTGTATGCAACTCCTTTCCAGGGGATCTGACACTCTCATACAGATATATTATATACATATTACACACACACACACACACACACACACACACACAATCCATACTTGATAATACAGGACTTACATCTACAAAAAAGATTTATACCCCATACTTAGCTTGCTTACAAAGGCATATAAAGAGCCAGAAACAGTCTTTTCAATGTGTTAAAAATGAACTGGAATGTGTCTGTGAAATAGCATATCTAATCTTTATGGCTAACACTGTTTAGATAGTACTTCCTGACACCATCAAAGTTCAGTGTCTGTATATGAAGACCCCCCCACCCCTGCCAGCTCCATACACCAGAGGCTTGGATGCTGGGAAGTCTGGATTTTAACAACTTGGTATTTAAGAGCTAACTTTACCAATGAATCAACCCATTTGTTAGTGAGTCCATGGTTGAACATGCTGAAAGAAGGTGAGGACTTCCTGGAGAGAACCAGTCACTGGAGGCTTTGGAAGGTTGACTTTGTCCCAGACCTACACTGCACTGCTTCCCAGCCGCCAGGAGGATGGAGCACCTGTACTCTACCACACTGCCCTTTGGGGCGACGACAAGGGAGCCAGCTGCCTATGAACTGAGACATCTGAAATCACTAGGCTAGCCAAATAAACTTCCTTTTAGTTGACTTTTCTCAAGTACTTTGTCACAGTGAAGGAAAGTAGACACAGTTCCCAGTTTTGTACTTTGTTGTTGTTGTTGTTGTGAGCCTAATCTTTAATGGCTAAGCCATCTCTTCACATCTTTCCAGCCCTAGTTTTATAATTTTTTACTTGTGGGCAACAGATCTTTAATATAATGCTCTTAAACATTTTATTTAAAAAAAAAAAAAAAAACCTGAATACTTTCTGAAAAGCAGCGCTCACCTGCACTGGGACCCCAGCCGCTGTGGATGGGTAATGTGCCGGATGCAGCTTTGAATAGACTGAGTACACAGGCGCTTCGTTCACCAATTTGTTGTACAGGTCCAGAGCTTCCAGCACCTTTACATTCAACTCAGACAGTTCTGAATGCCTCCTGATGTACAAGACAAGTGTTTTCATAGTAACGCCATGACCGTTTACATGATGACCGGTTAGTACATTTCTATTCCTACATCAAGAGGCTCTTTTCATATGCAATGAAAGGACATTCACAAAAGAAAACTGAGAGGAGAAACTGTTGAGTTCTGTCAACAGGCTGGTATGTCTTCCTAATAATTACGGAAAAGTCAAATACACCTCATAAATTGCAATCAATTCATAATTTGGGTGCTAGAATTTAGCTTAATACATTATAGATTATGTCAAAAATTTAATTACAAAGAAAAATAGCCTATGTTTCAGTAGAAGGCTCTGCCTTAATTATAAATCCGACTAACACAGTATGTAGATAGAGACCCAGAGCCCTTGAGAAGTATACTGTGACTTAAATAGGAGCATGATGGGAAAAAAGACATACACATCTTATCAGATCCACCAGAGGACCACCAAGTAAATTTTTTAAAAAAATATTATCAAGAAAACACATGTAAAACCAATATATACACAAGCTAGTCTCCACTGTTCTCTATTCACTTAGTGGCTTAGGGTAAGCATTTCCATATTCACCCAGGAACCCACACAGTGAAATCCTTCTGATTAATAAAATTCTGCCTACTCCCCTGGGAGTAATGAATGACCACGTATAGCCATTGAATTTGTATAAATTAAATGGCTACTTTTTGTGTGGCCTAAGACATCTACAAGTGTATACTGGATGGGATTCAGTGTGTACAAAGAGAGGTGAGAAGCAGAAGAAACGGCCCACCACACAAATGGCCGTCTCTCCTTTAGTAACATGTTATCTGAGCAAACTAACAGGTGCTGTTCCTTCTCTGCAATAATCACAGGCAGGCAACCTCTATCTTCAGAAGTATCTATCTGCTGCAAAGCACCCAAATCTACAGAAAATAAGTGTGCATATTAACTGTACGAATCTGGTCTATATAACCCAGTGTACTGATGAAACACTGACACAATAGTAGAAGGCCATGAGCGTCATGCATAAAACTATCTTTCGAGGGCTGGAGAGATGGCTCAGCGGTTAAGAGCACTGACTGCTCTTCCAGAGGTCCTGAGTTCAAATCCCAGCAACCACATGGTGGCTCACAACCATCTGTAATGAGATTTGATGCCCTCTTCTGGTGTGTCTGAAGACAGCTACAGTGTACTCATAAATAAAATAAATAAATCTTTAAAAAAAAAAAAACAAAACTATCTTTCGCGATTCGATAATCCAAGGTAAAGGCAAGCTTTTACAGAATTACACTCAGGACTATACTAGAACAAGTAAGGACAGTGGAGTTTCTTTTCCTTGAAAGACAAGGTCAAGAGCACAAAAGAAAAACCAGCAAATGAAGTTACACATAACCAAGAGCAAGCTTTTATGAAATGGGGAAAGAACACAGAACTTAGAGGTTAACCTGAGCTGGAGAGACCAGGACTCAAGCTGGTCCTGAGGAAAGGAGGACAGGCAAGGTGAAAACGACTAAGGACAATCAGAATACACAGAGCTAGAGCGAAAAGGCCAACCTGGTGCGGTAGAAAGTCGGATTACAACCGTCTGGAATAGTCAGGACACGGTAGCAGTATGAAATCTCATGCTTTGTGATGACAAAGTGAATGTACAATTTAATTTTCTAACAAGACAGTTTTACTCTCATTCCTGGACCCCATCGGAATAGCAAACTGCTGCTGATTTATTCAAGGAAAAATGATTTATATTTATCTTTGAATTTGTCACAGGAGCAAACAATCCATGAGACGATAAAGCACTGTCCAGCTAGAAGTTGCATATGTACCCTCTGCTATGAAACACTGACATCAGCTAACCTACTCACTGCTGGACAGCCAGTTTTCATTCAACGTGAACTGACAACAGAAATGGGTACTCTGAGTTTTAATTCCTTTAGATATATTTCTTTAGTAAAATTCTTATTTAATAAAAGTGATGTTATGTTGTCATATCTTCCACTATATGCATGACACCATTCCAGATCAGCAAGTAGTTTTCAACAGCAATGATTTCTACTGTAAGATACAGAATGTTTAATTTTGAAAACCAATTTCACACTGAAAGGCATTTTAGCTAGCTGCATTTTTATGGTCATAAATAGCATTCTGTTGAATACCACAACATCTGGTCATTGTACAGCTCCCCAGATTTGATTTAGTATGCACTTCACTATTTCTTTCTCTCTTCTTTTTTTTTTTTTTTTTTTTTTTTTTGGTTTTTCAAGATAGGGTTTCTCTGTGGAGCCCTGGCTATCCTGGAACTCACTCTGTAGACCAAGTTGGCCTCGAACTCAGAAATCCACCTGCCTCTGCCTCCCAACTGCTGGGATTAAAGGCGTGCACCACCACTGCCCAGTTAGTATGCACTTCAAATGGTTTGGGTAAAGAATATTTTTTAGGCCCAGGAAAATGTGTACTGATACTGCTAGCCACATGTATGGCAAACTAGTCATTTTTTGCCTCAACTTTCCCATTCTGATTACTCACTAATCATTAGTAGCAGATGTATAAGTAGGTGTATGATACTTTCTCTAAAACTATGGTCAATCTACCACTGATTATTTCAGTTTTGTAAAAACACAAAGGATTTGTAAAAAATATGCTATGGAGGAGTGGAGAGCTGGTTCACTGGTTAGGAGCACTGGCTGCAGTTCTCAGGACCTAGGCTTGATCCCCAGCTCACAACCACCTGTAACTCCAGTTCCAGGGATCGGATGGCCTCTTCTGGCCTCTGTAGGCACCAGGTACATACATGGTGCTCAGACATACATGAAGGCAAACACTTACACACATAAAGTAAAAATGTTAAAATACATAATGGAACAAACCATTTTCCCTGAATGAATCACTGTTTGCCATTCATAGCTTTTAAAAAGATATATTAGAAAATTAAACAACCTAATTCTTTTCTTCATGTATGATTTGTAGAGCAGTTCAACCTCTAGGGGCTGGAAAGGGAGGAGAACAGAGAGTAATTCCTTCCCCTTGGACTTAACCGCTCAAGCTTCTCCTCCCAAATTCAGAGAGCTGGGAACATCCCTGTCTACCAGCAGTGCTGATGTCTGTTCTCAGAGCAGCAACCCCAGGGAGACGAGGGAACAGGAAGGGAACAGGAACACAGAGACATGAGAGAAGACAGGGGAAGTCGCTGCATCGCATTTAGCTCCCCAAATAAGGGATATCTCACTTGCTGTATTCACAGATGTCACTCCTGGGTCTGTCACAAGTCAATGCTCACCTAAAACGCCCATTTTCATGTTGTCCTTAATTCACTTCACTCTTTAGTACTCAATTCCAGCCCCCAAACAAAGTGACTGGTGTGATAAAGTGCAGGGGTCCACGGCTCTATGCATACCACATTACTGCCACTGATGAAAATAATGTTCCCAAAACAAAGAGCATCACCAGAAACCAGCTTTGAGAGTCTGGCAACTGAGAGTCTGGCAACTGAACAGTAATTGCAGTAGATACTCAATCCCATGAGCACTTTCACCAGCTGTAAACCTGCTCAAAACAAGTAAAGGCCTCCTCACCTATCAATCTCTTCAAGTTTTTCATCTATCATTGGACCCATTTGTTGGCAAATATCTGTAATACAGAAATAATTATAAATACAGAAACTTAATAGTGCTTAAGTCAGTTTCAACAATCTTTAAACAAGAGAATATGCATCATCATTAAAAATACAGAGAAATAAGCTTATGCCAGAAAAGAGATGATAAAAAAATCTATTTATAGTACCTTACCATCATAAATTACTATCACAAACCAGAGGCAAGGTCAACATTAGAATAAAAATTTCATCATGATCCTGGAGTCATTAGCCAAGTTTACAGGCTGTGACAGTTATCCCAAAGTCTGAAGAGTTTCTACAGAACTCTCAGCTAAGTAAAGCGAACCTGCTTCATAGGTATAAAGTATGTACACGCATGCACAAACATTAAATAGCAATACTTTTCATTTACGTAAGAGCTTTTACAACGCAGGGCTGATAAGATGGCTAAGCAGATGAAGGAGCTTGCAGTACAAGCCTGGTGACCTGAGTTTGATCCTAGGGACATTCATGTGGAACAGAGAGCCAGTTCCACAAACATATCCTCTGGCTTGCACATATGCGTATGGCATGCTCACCCACACATACACCATGCACATTCACGAGTGTGTGTGAATGCACACACACTAATAAAAATGCAAGCACCTCCATATAATTTCCAAATGTAAAAACAAATATAATAGAGGAATGCTCCATATTCATAACCAAGCTTCCTTCTATTAAAAAAAAAAAAAACTAAGCTTTATCTACTCACTGTACTTTTTTACAAAGGGCACTGTTTGGTTTTGTAGCTTTTCTGACAGGCTAGTCTAGACTGGTCTTGAACTCATGGCAATCCCTCTGCCTTAGACTTCGTCATGTAGGAATTACATGTATAATCCCCCTATGCCCAGAAGCCCAAAGTACCAGGATTTTTTTGCTTGTTTCGCTGGTTGGTTGCTGGCTGTTGTTTGGTAAGAAACCCAAGAAGGATTCATAAAACACAAAACACCTGTTTTTGCTTTAAAGTCTTAGAGACTAAATGACACGCAGTCAGAAGACAGTTAAACAAAAATAAACTTTTACACTTTGATTTGATTTAATATGATGTGACTTTTGTTTTGTTTTTTGTTTATTTTCAAGACAGGGTTTCTCTGTTTAGCCCTGACTGTACTGGAACTCGTTCTAAGATCTGCCTGTTTCTGCCTCCAGAGTGTTGGGATTAAAGGCGTGAGCCACCACCACCCGTCTATGCTGTTATTTCTAATTCTGCCTTTTCTTTAGCCAGTTTCACCAGTGATCTTACAGAAATACAAAGACTCCTTTTGTGAAATGGACACAGGCTCTGACAATATCTTCCAGGTGACACTTCTATTATTTTATTATACAAGTCTGTTTGTCACCAGAATTTCAAATCTTAAAAGGCAAATAGGAAGCAGAAAAAAACCTTCAAGATCCTATAAATAAGTAATATATGTTAAGATGAGTTCAATCTTAAGTAAATACCTTCCAAGTCCAAGAGGTCTTGGGAGTCGGGTTTTGAATCTTTTGGATCTATGCTCTGGAGAATCTGCAGGGCTCTATCCATTTTACCCTAGAAAAATGAAAGGAGATTCTGAGAAGTCCAAGGAGTTAACTGCGGGGAATGGAAAAGCACTGTTCCCACATATTCTAAAAGAATAGTATATTTTTAAAAATTCTTGGTAGTTTATTAAACAAAAGGTCGATACCTCATCTATATAAACAGGCTCAGGTTCCGATTTCTTAATTTCCTCCACATCATCATCAACTACATTCAATTTGTCCACCGTTGCTACAGAAACAGAATAAGTTTTTAAGTTTTTCAACATTTACATCAACATTACAAATGAGTCGTTAAATTTCTAAGTGGTCTATTATCATCCATAGGAAGAAAGTAGAAGCTCCTTAGTCATCACACTTCATAATCAATATCTCACATACAGTCATTCACTTATGCCACAATATTTACTCAGCACTCACAGTGTGCTAAACCTCCTTCCCAGTGCTTAGATACATGCAGGGAGTGAACAGAGCCATCTGATGTTCGTGGAACTCACAGTCGAGTGGGAAAGAGAGCAGTACCCACGGCCACTGTCACTGCAGCTGCTTTCCTGAAAACTGACTGCTACTACCAAGATGAATAAATATACAAGTGCATAGATTTTTATCACTAAGCTAGTTTCACTTATAACTGTATGTTCCATCTATACTCTGACCTCCTATATTTATAAATAAAAAACTCAACCTGTACTTCCTATTTGAACAAAATATAAACCCAACTTAACCTAACTTTAAGTTAAAATAGTATAAAGCTACAACAAAAAAGTATTACATAAAGATGGTTTAAGATAATTTATAAATATGCATATCCTGAAAACTACCTAATCAAGTTCCCTGGAGCACTGCTATTTGTACTCAATTTTAATTAAACTTGGATGGAAACAAAGTTACTACAAAAAACAATGTAAGTACAGGATGAGGTCCAAGGGACTCCTGCCATATTTGGCTGACTCTGAATTAATTACATGTAAAGAGATCTCAACAAGCCACAGGGACACAGTGAAGATCAAGACAACCTTTCATGCCAGGCATGGTGGCAAATGCCCTTAATTCCAGCACTGGGAGACACAGGCAGGTGGACCTCTGTGAGTTCAAGGCCAGCCTAGTCAACAGAGAGTCCAGGACAGCTAGGACTGTTATGCAGAGAAACTCTGTCTCAAAAAAAACAAAAAACAAACAAACCAACAAAAAAACACAAAAAGAGTACCTTTTACTATTTAAAAATGTTACTGGAGAGAGGAATCTAACCTAGCGCATTGCACATGCTAGGGAATCGTTTTATTAAACTACACTCCCAGTTAAATATTCTACTGTTAAAACAGCAGGTCAGCCTCTTCCAACTATGCCAAGAGGAAAATCACTGAATGTGATATCTTCTATGCTTTATAAAGTTCTCTGAAAAGTTCCCAAGGCTCCTATCAACTAAGAAAGCCGGAGAGAAAGCAGTGCAGTGTGCATCTACCTGACTTAAGTCTCCCTTCACCCAGCTTCACTTCTCCACGCTCTTCACTCTACACTATGAACACTGTACACGAAGCATGACATTGTCACCATATGCTCTTTCTGTAGAACAGGGAGGGTCAGCTCTGCCCTCAGCAATGGTCTGAGTGCACTATGAAGCCAGACAGGAGGTCTTTAGCATTCTGGCTCTATCTCATAGTAGACAAGTTCCTCCACCTCAGCCTCCTTTATCAGGGCAGCAAACATACTGGTTCCAGAGGCAGGAGAGCATGGGAGAGTGCTGACGGGTTTAACCAGCTGCTGTCACCGTCAGCATTACTAAGCTGCTTCTGTACACTTAAGATCTCCCACAGCATGCCTGGGCAACAAATGCCTGTGTCCTCAGTGTGGCTGACTACACGGTTTATAGTCGCAGGTGAAGGTCAGTGGCCTGCAGTCATACCCAGGTGGAATAAAATGTAAAACTTAAGGACTCACAAGTCATCTCGCTCAGCACTTGCTGACTTGTGGTCCCCGCCTTTACTGCAGTTCCAAAATCATTCTGTACAGATCAGATACAAACTGCTTCTCAGGTTTTGACTTAAATTCTTATTTTATGTAATCATCACTATACATCAACACCCAAAAAATCTGCAATACAAAATAAGAGCTCCCGGGACTGACACGTGATAAATTAGTCCCCTCATCTCTCTAAGAAGTAAGGTAAGCTGCAAAGCTATAGACACACGATTAAAAAGAAAGCAAATACTAATTACTTTTTTTCTTTGTCCTTCACTATGTAGACCAGGTGAGTCAGGAACTCACAGACATCTGCCTGCCTTTGCCTCCCAAGTGCTGGGATTAGTGGTGTGTGCTACTACTCAAATGTCAATAATAAATTCAAGGGAAGATAACATCAGTGGATTGACGGTTCTCTGTGAAAGTAATACCTTTTCACCTTACCTGTCTCAGCCTCTGTGCTTAGGTCAGCTGTTACAAAGTTGGAGGGGAAGAGCCCTGTTCCTCTGTGATTTTCTCCTTCCCACCAGTTGGCGTCACTGCAAACAACATGAGAAAGGTCATTTGCTATTCTCCATCCTGTCAAGAGGAAACTAAACACAGCTACTGGACTCTGACATTAGCCTCCATCCAGGTATACTAAAAGTTGTTTTTCTTAGCCAGGCTCAGTGGGACAAACCTGTAATCCCAGCACTAGAAAGGCAGAAATACTTTTTTCTTAAATTAATGAAAAGATAGTTAAAAATATTTAAATCAAAGAAAACCTATATCCCCACGCCTATCTTTTGAAGCAATTATCAGTGACTAAACCACAAGCCCAAATCCATCCTTCCACACTACCAGCATCCAAGGTAGAGGCAGCTCCCTTCCCTCTCTACTTTCCATCCTTTCACACACATAAAGAGAACTGAACTGACACGTGTATGGAGACGTGTGTCACTCCAGGGAGAGCATATAGTTTCATGATTAATACTTCTGGTGCCACTCATCTCTTTAAAGTTCTATGACAAGAGCACACACACTTAGTCATTTCTGTGAAGATGAACTTCTACAGCTCATTCCAGGTCATTCCCAGTCTCCCAACATTATAAAGACTGAAGAGTGCAGGGAGGTGGGAGAGATGCCTTTGAGAGGTACAAGTGGAATGATCTCTGAGTTTGAGGCCAGTCTGGTCTACAAAGTGAGCTCCAGGACAGCCAGGGCTACACAGAGAAACTCTGTCTCAGAACAAACAAACAAACAAGACTTAGTAACCACTCTGGTTAAGAAAGCCCATAAGCAACAACTATTCTAGGTTTGTTCAAGACAGTGACCTGCAAGCTAGGTGTGCTCATTCACCTATAGTTCTCAGTACTTAGAAAAAACTGCATGAGCCCCGGAGTTCAAGACCAGTCTGGATAAAAAGGCCAAAACAATGTAACTATTTCTGAAAAAACTGAGGGACAGGGAGTAGGGGGAAGGATGGACACATAGACAAAACTACTTGCTGGCTCATGCATGCTTAAGTTTTACAGATATTGTCAAATGTTCGTTAGAAAGACTGGTAGCTCACACTCCTTCTTCCCCAAGGACGTGAGGCAGTCATTTTCCCCACAGTGATAACCATCCACGCCGACATCTGATACCAGAAAGAAGGCGTCATGCTTCATCAAGCTCATCCGCGTTCTCCAGGGTTCACTAGTAGTACACTGTCTCTTCCACAAACTGCTATTGCTTTTTCTATATTGAGAGAGGGTTTCTCTGTGTAACCTTGATAGTACAGCAACTTGCTCTGTAAACTGTTTGTTCTTTTTTTATTATTATTTACTTATTTATTTTATATGAGTACATCATAGCTGTCTTCAGACACACCAGAAGAGGGCATTGGATCCCATTACAGATGGTTGTGAGCCACCATATGGTTGCTGGGAGTTGAACTCAGGATCTCTGGAAGAACAGTCAGATCACTGAGCCATCTCTCCAGCCCCAAACTGTTCATTCTTATCTTTGACTGTTTAGTTTTTCCTACTGGATCACAGGTATTTTTTTTTCATGGATTTTAGTTCTTTATGTACTTACAATGGCAACTGCTCATCTGAATTAAGACTGCCCCTGCTTTCACACCAATTCAGCAATTTTTCTCTATGTCTTACATGCTTTTTATCTGTCTCTGCCCTAAATTACTGTCTATTCTTCCAGAGACTTGTCTAATAATTCAGATTTTCTTTTTTGTCCATCTCCCATGCTTAGGTCACTAAATCATGTGGAATCAAACTGTATGTGCTGTGAGAAGCAAACTTCATTTTATTATATAAAGAGCTAATCAATGCAACAAGAATTACTAAAAGTCCACTAACGGGTGATCCTAGCCTTGCAGACTTGATTTAATGGTGGTGGGGGATACCCGGGGGAGGCGCACCCACTCAGAGGAGGAGGGGAGGGGATAGGGGTAAGGACTGTGGGAGAGGTTGACCAGGAAATGAGCAGTGACCAGGATGTAAAGAGATTAGGCAAAACATAAATTTAAAAAAAAAAAAAGCAGAAATAAAAAAACCAAACGAGCCTAATGCTTGCTCCCCTAACTGTCACAGCAAGCTGTGTCTGTTCCTGAGCCTCTCTCAGTGTCTCTCTCTATTCCAACAGTCTAGAGGAATTCGTCAGCTGCAGTTTTGTTCTCTGTGGATTCTGTTACTTGCCGTCAATCATGCTCCAAAGAGAGAAAGATTGCAGAAGTCAGCAATCCCTCAGTTTAGATTGCATGTCATCTGTTTCAGAAGTGAGTCCTCTGAGCAATACATCTGTGAGAGCCCCTACCCCTCATGCTGGCTGCCTCCAAGCAATACATCCGTGAGAGCCCCTACCCCTCATGCTGGCTGCCTCCGAGCAATACATCCGTGAGAGCCCGTACCCCTCATGCTGGCTGCCTATTTAACTTTCTGGATTCCATCATGTCTCCAAAGTTTTTCAAGTTCTTTGGGAAAAAGAATTTCAAAAGGAGTTTAACTGGAAATGCAGTTAATTCATGTGAGATGAGAAAGCCTAAATCTTTACAATACTAAGGTTTATCATGCTATTTATATGTTTATAAATACACTATATACTCTTATCTCTTAATTTTCCAAGAATTTTATAGATTCTCCATAAAGGCTTTGTATACTTTTGCAGGTTCTTCATTACTAAATCACTTTATTTTACATGTGTGCTTGAGTGTGTGTATGTGAACCACATGCATACAGACACCCAGCAGGTCCGAAGAGGAATTGCACCCTCTGAAACTGGAGTTACAGATGGTTGTGAGCTGCCATGTTGATCCAGTGAGCCAAATCCAGGCTTTCTAAGTCCTCAAAACTGCTGAGGAGAATTTCTGTTACTATTGTGAATGACACCTTTCTTACTACATTTTCTAAACATACCACTGATTTTTGTACAGTAAGTTTGTATCTAGTAACCATAACTTAAATTTAACTGTTAACCAATACCACTGATTCTCTTGGACTTTCCAAACGGACAGTCACAGTTATCTGAAAAGAAACCTTTTTATCTACTTTCTAGAAATTTCATGTGACAAACTATGATTCTTAAGGGTGCTTTTGATTTTTCTTTTTCTTTTTGATAGGACTAGGAAGCATATCCAAAGCTTTTTCATGTTAGGTTCAAACTCTGAGCTAAGGAAGAATCCTAGGATTAATGATAAAGCTATCTCCATGTCTCTGAAGCATTTCATTTACTGAGTTCCACAAAGATATAAAAGAGCTATTCATCACCTAACTTCTTAAGATCAAAGTATAATGTATCAGTAGCCCGGATATTCTGTATGCTAATTTCTACATAAGCAAGGACTCTCCATGAAAACATGGCCTCCTCACTTGTGTCTGTCACACGGGTGCTTGGCTACAGCAGAGGAAACACAACTGAGACAGGTGACTCCTCAAGACTGAAGCTGACTTGTCAAGATAAAAAGGAAATTAGGCTTTTAGAATAAAAACGGCATTTTCCTGCATTCATTATGGAAAACAAGAAAATAAAACAAACAAAAAACCCTACCTTTTGTATTGAGATTTTAAAAAGGAGATTAAGGTTCTCCCATCTAGTTTTAGGTCTTGGGCTGGCAACACTACTCAGTTAAAACAGCTTCCCAAGGCTGACAACCTGAGTTTGATCCCTAGGACCCATTGGTGGAAGGAAAGAGTTGTCCTCTAACCAACACACATATGATACAGCACACATGTGTGCCCTCCCATAAATAAATGGGTTTAAGTCTCAGAATCAAGGAAAACTCAAGCCTTTCTCTTCAGCTATGAGCCTAACCAGAACTCCCTGATGACCCTTATAATGACAGTGGCAGAAGGAAAGCAATGTCCTTGATGAGTAAGATCACCCCATAAGAAAACCATGGCTGCCACGAGCAAAGAAGCAATAAACTCAGACACTGCGCTGATACTGTCCCAGTCATTTCCTTACAGATTCTTACTTTTTTTTTTTAAATATACTTTTTTTTTAAATATTTATTTATTTATTTTATTGATGAGTACACTGTAGCTGTCTTCAGACACACCAGAAGAGGGCATCCAATCTCATTACGGATGGTTGTGAGCCACCATGTGGTTGCTGGGATTTGAACTCGGGACCTCTGGAAGAGCAGTCAGTGCTCTTAACCGCTGAGCCATCTCTCCAGCCCAGATTCTTACTTTTTAATCAACCCTTCTGTTGAGTGCTTAGACTCCTTTCAGTTTCTTACAATTTTTTTTTAAAGCCAACCCAAGGGGTTAGAGACATAGCTCCCTTGAATGTACGAGGCCTGGGTTCAGTAGTGAAAAACAGGGAACAGAAACCATTCCATCAAGATCTGAACTGAAGCAGCCCCAGGGAACCCTCCCATGCCACAGGTCTACACCAAACGTGAACTGGTTCTCAGCGGTCTGAGACAGCCTTTCTCATGGTATCACCATGCTGTCTTGCATGCCACTGTCTGCTTGGTCATTTTAACTTTCCTAAAGTTTCACAAAAAATCAGAACTGTGTTCTCATTCATTTTTTTTATTATAAATAGTCTATTACATAACATTTTTCTCTATAAATACAGCACCAAAGCAAAACCATATGTATGTAGCAACTTAAAAATAGGCTAGACCGGGGCCAGCAAGACGGCTCAGCAGGGTAAGGTGAAGCCTGGCGGTTTGAATCTGAGCTCCAGAACCCACACGGTAGAAGCTGACTCTTACAAGTTGTCCTCTGACTCCCATATCACATGGTGGTTGCGTGGGCATACACATGTTCATACATGTATGTATGTACACAAATAAATAAATGTACTCAAAAATTTAAATTACTTACCTTTACTTCACTAGTATAGGAAAGCAGGTACCTGCGCCATCTTTGTTCATAGCAACAGGCTGTCTGGTCTCACTAAGGAAAGTTTCATCAACTTACAAAAATTATTACAAGGACTGAACTCAGGTTCTCAGACTTAAAGACAAGAGTTCTGATCCACTGAGCCAACTCAACAGACCATATCCACTTCTTTTTAAAAGTATAAAGTTCATGCAGAAATCTCAATTCTCTATAACTTCAACATTTGGGAAACTGAGACAGAAGGCCTTAAAGGCCTTGTCTCCAAAAATAAAGAAACAAAAAAAAAAAAAAAACCAGAACAGAATTAGGCTCAAAACAGATCAATCTAGTTTGTTTCTTAGAGTTGTAAATGATAAAGGAATTGTAAGGGAAATTGTGTAGTATTTTCAGAGGACCCAAGCATGGCTTTTGACTGCTTTGATTGAGGGTCTCACTGCCTAGTCTAATCTTCAAGAAAATAATAAGAGAATATTGTACTATTTGACTAAAAGTCAAAAGCATGAATATTCTTTATTCTCATCTAAGGATATTATATATTTTCAGACTATTACACACAGAAACACAAAAAAGTATAAACCTACCTGTCATCCAAAACAGTAATAATTTCCCCATGTTTAAAGGTGAGTTCATTGTCTTCAACAGCTTCAAAGTCGTATAAGGCTCTGACTCTCCGTGCAGCCTTATTATTTAACTGACTCTCTGCAGGTGGGTGTAAAGCCTTTGTCTCCGTGTACTGCTGCTTCTGCTCTTGCAACGATAACTCAATAGCTAGTTGGAAAAATTAAAATGTAAAGATATCAGAATTAATTTTAACATCTAAAAGCTTTTTAAAAATACTAGATAACAATATTATACTTAAGAATAAGTCAAGCGTGTGTTTCCTTTTTCTCCCCGAGACAGGGTCTCATGTAGCCTTGAGCTCCCTGAGTAGCTGAGATAACCTTTAACTCCTGATCTCACCTCCACCTCTCACGCTGTTGGGACTTGAGGCGTATGCCAGTACGCCTGTCCAAATACTAACTGGTTAAATTCATGAGGGGACAGGGACACATGACATTTTTTAAAATAACATTTGTGCTCATCCCTTATTATCATCACAGTCTGTAATATACAGCAATTATTTTTATAGCAAACAGATTGTGACATTATAATATGGGTAGCTTTCCATATAGGACACCATGAACATATTTCTGTGCCTGAGTCATAACTCTGGCATTAGGAAAAGGTGAAATGTAATCTTCCCAAAGGTAGAACATGAAATATATATTACTAAAAAAATTAAATGAATCAGGTTCATCTTATATCATGTCTTTGCTTTTCCTGACTCTTAAGACCCTACAGCTTTTAGATCTGAGGTAGAAGCCTACACATTATTTCTTCTAATTTTTCTTTCAATAAAGCCTCCTAGAGAGACTCTTTTCACCAAATGACGCTTGGTGGCTTACCTTTAGCTATGTCCTCATCTTCTTTGTTTTTATTCACTGATGTCCCGTTTTTGGCAGCAGCTGAGACAGTCTGGAAGCATATGAGTAAAATGAGCACAGCCATTCTTTCAGAGGAAGCACAAGCTGTGTAATTACATGTAGATGCTAATTAAAAGTACTGGTAACTCAACTCCATTTAAAGTGAGGTTCCTCACAAGCAGTTAAGTAGCTGTTCTGAAATACTAGCACTAAACATCAGTTTTTCAAGAAAACATAAACACATAAAAGGCACACACTGACTAATACTTTGATAAATCTAAGAATCTGACATAGAACTTGGAGAAAGTACTGAAATTATTATAGAATGAACTGAACCTCAGTCTCGACAGTTTAAGGTCTTTTATTCAGGAGAGGCACTCAGAAGCTACTGGCTCAGAGCTTGGACAGAAAGTCATCTCCTGAAGTACACCTCAAGTCCTCCGCTGCCCACTACAGCCTAAGAGGAGCAGCCTTTCGGACTCACAAAAGATCCTCCTGAGTTTGATGGCCCTAGGACACGTGTCCAGGACTCTGAGCCACCAACAGTTCTTTTTTTTTTTTTTTTTTTTTTGGTTTTTCGAGACAGGGTTTCTCTGTGTAGCCCTGGCTACCCTGGAAGTCACTCTGTAGACCAGGCTGGCCCCGAACTCAGAAATCCACCTGCCTCTGCCTCCCAAATGCTGGGATTAAAGGCGTGCGCCACCACTGCCCGGCCCAACAGTTCCTTAATACCCATTTCTGAGAATGGTGAACAGAAGGGCAGATTGGCTGCTCTTTATTACTTACTAGACCACGCACCCTCCTTCCCCACATACTAAAGCTAGCCTCAAGTCTCCAAATGAGTCTCTGGTCTTACACGCCTAACAGCACATTGGTTTCTTACCTCTGGCAAATTGACTTTTCATCAGGAAATCCTCAGCTCCATGACTCTTTCACATCAGCCCTTTCCCACCAGCTCATCATTCCACTCTCATAATACAAGACACTCAAGTCTCAATGTGCTTCCTCTCTACATCCTCACCATCGCAATCTGGGGTCCTTTCTGCTTCCTGGTACTAGGACGGACAGCATCTAATCTTCACCCATCAGCCCTTATCACTGACAATTTAAATTAGCAATTCGTTTCCTATATATGACCATCTTTCAAATTTATAATTTTTTTAAAAAATTTTTCACTTATTTCAGAGGGAGTAGGGGGACACCTAACAATGTGCGTGAGATCAGAAGACTTTTTGAGCTGGTTCTCGTCTTCCATTTTGAGGTCCTGGAACTGACCTCAGGTCATACCAGAGCTGTATGGCAAGTTCGTTTACCCACTGGACCGTCTCAGCAGCCCCTTATCATTAATTGCTTAAACACAAGGCTGACTTGAACATCCTATGCTTTTCACATGACTCCAGACTTTTGAGTAGCATTCGATACATTATTTATATCTGGTTCAGTTTTTAAGTTTCTGGTATTTAGAAGAAAAGTACCAAACAATTAGATGTCTCTACTAAACAGAATCTATGTAAGTACCACACTAGACGATCAGGGGATGCAGATGGGAAACGATAAGACATTCCTTGCTGAGAGCAAGATGGCTGCTCGCTCTGCATGTGCTTACCTGCTGCCAAGCCTGATGACCTCAGTGACATCCTCAGGACCCACAGAGTAGTAGGGAACCAACTTCCACAAGTTGTCCTCTGACCACCTCTCTCTTATTTTGACACATGGGTACACACACACACACACACACACACACGCAGGAGCACACATAAATAAAGCCCACATCCCTTGCTAGCTTTTGTAAATACCTTCAGACAGTAGAGGGAAAACCTGGTCTGAATAAATCTCTCACCTTGGAACCTACTGAAGGAAAAGTAACTCCTTCTTCTTTCATAGACTTAATAGTTGCAGATATCAGACTAAATTGAGGGTCCTTCTGGAATTCTTCTGACCATTCCACCATTAGAGATTTTAGTTTTTCACATACTTTAGGATGAGCCTTTTAAGGAAGTGGTAAAGAAAAAGGAACAAAACAAACAAACAAAAAATCCTGAGTTAAAGTAAATAAAAGTGCATGGTGCTAAGTCTGACATCCCAACTTTGACCCCAGAACCATACAGTCAAGAGAGAGGTGACTCCCCACAAGCTGACCTCTAACCGCCACACATGCACGGTGGCATGTGCATATGTGCACATGCACATACATATACTCACAAGATAAATGAAAACAATTTAAATGTATTGACAGAGAATCACCACCAAAATCCTCTCAAGAATTAACAGAGACACAGGGCAGGCATCTCCAGACTAGCCCAGTAACTGACAGATGCTTAGCTTATTCACATTGTCAGGTACAGCTGCTTCATGGAGAAAAAAAAAAAAAAATCACCCCTCCAGAATACTTTATGTTCAAATGGCTAGAAATATTTTATATCATTGGCTATTTGCTCTGTTTTCTTAATACTCTCATCATGAGATGAGGATTTTTTTGCACTAACTTGAACAGCAGCATGAGAATGTTGCTTCAGAGTTTGTGTCTCAAGGAAAACATAAGAGGCCTCCCTCCACTCTGCTATAATATAAAGACATCTAGACACCAACTCTAGTGGGAGTCAAAACAGAACAACATCAATGTCTGGAGTCAAGACTCAGACACCTAGAGCTGAATCTCAGTCACAGACACCCAGATACCCATATCCACTATGCCACTCTCTAGCTGTGTGACCTTGGCAAAGCCAAGCTGCAAGAGTGGTTGTTAAAAATAAACAAGGCAGTCTACATAAAATGGTCAAAGCAGTCACCAGACCTCAACCAAGATGAGTTCTTACCAATAATACATATACATACAATTATACACACACACACACACACACACACACACATATATATATATATGCACACACACACACACACACACGTTCACACAAAGATACCAAGAAGAAAGAACCAGGGTGCTATAACTATCAAAAATCAAGGACAAGAAGTTTTAACTTATTTAAAAGTTGCATTGGTAATGCAACTTTATTATACATAATTAAATTAATGCACAGTACATGTATTTTGCAATGACCTAAATTTCTTTTCAGTTTAGAATTTACCTTATTTTTTATCACAGCACGTACTTCCGTTGCAAAATCACGGGAACATATTTCTAAATGAAATATCTTTCCACAGTTTGCCACACAAGCTCCAAGAAGCTAGCAATTAAGATAAAAACAAATATATAAACATCAAAATGGTCTCTGGCTTAAGTTGCTGAATGAATGCATTTTTAACAGGGTCAGCTGACAAGACATTTACTCACAGTTAACGCCTGCAGAGCAACATGAGGGACCTTATGGTTTACCCTTTTCATTATGGCTTTTAGGCAATCTTTCGCTCTAAAAAAAAATGGGAGAAAGTTAAGAATTTTGTAACAGTTTCCATTCAAATGTTAAAAATATAATGTATTTCCTAACTAAAAGCTTTAAAAATAAAATTCTGCAAACATCTTTGTTAAGTAAGTCTGTGTGGTTTTTCACAGATGTTCTAAAACTGCATATTCTAATATCAAGAGAGAAATCACTTTACCAAAAACCTAGTCAACATAAAGAATTATACTGTACAAATATTTTTTCTCCAGACAGACTGACCTTTCCATCAGCTAAGCCTTATCCTGAAAAGAGCTAGCACAACACACAATCGTAAAAGGCTCACCGATACCATGCTGTGCTCTGAAAGCAGGGTGCAGCACACGGCATGCCCAACAGCTGGGTCCTACCAAAAGCATTCATTGTTTACTTTCCCTCTTTATTATATTAACTATTGTGTCTAGAACGGCTCTCATAAAAGTCTACATCACAGAGAAATTCCTTCAATAACCAATGTATTTATTCATGGTTAGCATGCATTCCTGCTATAAAAGCCTTTAGTTATCTGTCTAAACACAGATCATATTTTTTGGGAGTGGGGTGGGGAATTGGGGATTCAAGACACGGTTTCTTTGTACAGCTCTAGCTGTCCTGGAACTCAGAGATCCACCTGCCTCTGTCTCTTGAGTGCTGGGATTAAAGGCATGTGCCACCTCCACCGGACAGATCCGATTTTCACTGAACACTGCCTTTGTTTCTCAGGACAAGATCAATATAAAACCTAGCCTACCGGATCTCTCTACTTCTATCTCCTGAACCAAACAGCTAATTAAATAAGTGTCACATAGCAGATTTAAAGAAATGCTTCCATAAAAATCTACATGTCAATGCCCTGTCACATGGAGTCACGGGCTAAGCAGGCTCCTTACCCATTGGGAGTGCTTCCAACCCTGTCACAGATGTCCATGATCAGACTCCAGTCTTCTGTGGTGTTGTACTCATTTGTGGCTTTTTCTGTAAGATATATGAACATACATAAAACTTACAACACATCTTTAAAAAGCATTAAGATAGCGACCCAGGCCAACAATTAAGAATCTACCTTTCCTCTAGATAAAGACAGAGAACTCAGGACGAGTTTCAGAAAAGAGTACACCTCTACTAGCTTCAAGTTTATCTTTATGTACTTTCAAGGTCTGGCTTTTCTGTTTGGGTGGTTTGGGTTTTAAGGCAGGGTCTCTCACTCTGTAACACAGGCTGGCCTGGAACTCACGTAAGGCCTCACCCTGCTGGTCTGGAGAGATGGACTGGTGACTAAGAGCACCGACGGCTCTTGCACAGGACCTGGGTTCAATTCCCAGCACCCACATAGTGGTTCACAACTGTTTGTAACCCCAGTCCTAGCATGCACATGACATATGGACATACATGCAAGCCAAATGCTTATACACATAAAATAAATAAATCTAAGCAAAAAAAAATTATATAATTTTTTTAAAAAAAAGCCTTACCCTGCCAAGAGTTGGGATTATAAACATGAGCTGCCAAGGCCAACTTAAATTCAGTTTTAAACTGTATCTTATAATAACATGAACTAAATGTTCTCAGATATACCAATAAAATACCTTCTAAAATTAATGATCACAACTGCAACCAATCCTAATCTGTAACAGAGTTTTTAAAATGTATCATCATTCAAAGAAACCTGTATTATGGTTTTTTTATTTTACATTTATCAGAGTGCATGCATGTATGCACACCCATGTGCGTGCAAGCATGTGTGCCACTGCTCACGTGTGGAGGAGGGGGTCATTATCTCCTACCATGTGAGTCCCTTGAACTCAGCTTGTCAGGTCTTACTCACTGACCCCTCTTGATGCATGAAACTGCTCAATGAAACATTATTTCCAACAGCAAGGGGGAAACTGATGAGTAAAATACTAAATATAGAAAACTTACAGTGGCAAATACGAAAATGACACATACAAACTAAGGTACAAACAAAGCACAGGACTCTCCTGACCTGTTGTTTTATTAGGACCTAGAATGCTGAGTCAAAAGAAGGCTAAGAACTAAAGGACTTGACATAGTTGCATAAAGATTTTAAGGTATCTTTATAGAAATGTAACTCACATTCTAATACAGTGCATGCATCTGACAATGAATAGTATAGCTAGTATAACTATAGGCTTATGTAACTATCACCACTAATTTTTACAGCATTTCATTTTCTCCAAGGAAATCTGTCCTGGGGGCTAGAGGGATGGCTCAACTCCTGGCACCCACATGACAGCTCCCAGTTGTTTTCAACTTCAATTCCAGGGAATCCATTGCCTTTGTCTGGCCTCTACTGGCACCAGGAACACAAGTAGTGCACAGACACAGCAGGTAAACGCTCATATACACACACACATTTTTTTAAGTCTTTAAAAATAAACAAAAACCCCGAAGAAATGTGCACTCTTGAGCAGACACGGCCATCTCTTCCCATGTCAAGTTCCTATCTACACAGTTATCTAGTCTGTCTTTTCACAAGTACAATCCTAAAACAGAGTTTCTGTGGCTTGCGTGCCGTTCAATATGATGCTTTCAAGTTTATCTATGTCATAGGTGAACTGACATTCTGTTGTACAGATATACCCGTTTTACTCACATCACCAGTTTATCGAATTTGCTTTTTTTGGCTAACAGAAATAATGAATTTTTGCTATTAACATTCATATATGAGTCTTAGGTTGATGTATTTTTCGTTCCTCTCTGACATATGTCTAACAAATCCCCTGGGTCATATAGCAACTTTAACTTTTTCAAAATAGGTATAGAAGTGTATACTTCCATGGTTATTAATACATGAGGGCTTTTTGTTTTGTTTTTTGAGACATTTTTGAGACAGTTCTCTTTACATAGTCTAGGTTGATCTCAAACTCACTAGCTGGTCCCAAACTTACAATGTGTAATTTTGTGTGTGTCCTGCTTCAGTCTCCTCCCCCTACCTACCCCCCACAAAAAAGGCAAAAACAGAAACAAAAATTAGAACACCATTAGGGATATAATACAGACAGCATTTCCCCATTCTGGGGCCCTATCTTAAATCAGTATTTATGTGTGTGCATATTTACAAGAGAGTGGGCAGGCAAAGGGGAGAGAAAAGAGGAAGTGCAACAGATACCACACATGGAGTCCCTGTAACAGACAGTGAGGAAAGGCTAGAAACCAGGCATCTGATTCATGCCTGGAATCCCAGCCCTTGAGAGGTTGAGGCTGAAGGGTAAAAGCCCAGATCATCTTGGGCTACAGAGTGAGCTCCATGCCATCTGGGTATTACTCATTTCATGTCTCATATAAAACAAGCATTACAATTAAGAGGATTAAGATTTTTCCAGGATAGTAGCACAAGTAACTCCAACACTCTGGAGGCTGAGGCAGGAACATGATGAAGTCTAGGTCAGCCTAGACTACATAGTGAAATCCTATCTCAAAAAGATGAGTAGGACTTCGTACATTGGCCATTCTGCTGCTGTTTCAGAGAATAATTCTTATTCACTATCTCTTCTCCCATCTCTTCCCTCAGCTCCCACTATTACGGCAGGACTGTCACTACTGCTGTGTGTAGCACATCAAACAGTACCTAAGGCCCTTGGTAAGTGTCACTGCCATTCCATGAATGAATGAACAGTGTGTTGGATGTACTTCTATAACCTATGATGCTCCTGCAATGGCTGCAACGTGCTGCAGTGTGGCCCTGGTGAAATCTTAGGTGAGCCTGGGTCTTACTGCTTGAGCACTTAAGATGGAGCTTCAACTGCAATACCGTGTGGCAACAAGAGGCAACGGGCAGAGTGCAGGGGCATCTGTGGCTCCAGCAACCTTTGTGGACTCATGTAGGAGGCAAAGCCTTGGAGGACTGCAAAGCACTTCTCCTATACGTAGCTTTATCCTCTGCGACCAAAGAATAAAGCACAATTATTATGATGGCTTTGTGTTTATCCTTCCTCAGCCTGTGACTTGTCTCTGCTATGATAGAACCTACCACTTTTCCTTTTTATAATATATCATGCCATAAAGTGTGAATTACTTGAAAATTAAATATGCAGCCATAGTCTCTTTTGTATGTATATCACTTCTTTCTTACATGTAAGCCTAAAGACGTGTATATGTACATTCATATGTGTATCTGACCCTTGTTTAGTATACAGTATAAGCCAGGAACAGAAAAATATTTTCACGAAACTTATTAGGCAGCACCAACATTTAAAACATTTAAAAATCTGCCCTGAGGCTAGAGAGATGGCTAAGTGATTAAGAGCACTTACTGTTCTTCAAAGGACCTGGGTTTGATTCCTAGCACCCACATACCGCACATACTGTGACACACCCACAACCATCTATAACCCATTTCAGGGGATCCAACAGGCTTACACGGTACACGTATGTGCATGTGAACACAATATTCATACACACAAGGTAAATAAATAAAAACTTCAGCAAAGAAATCTGTCCTTTCTCTGGACCAGGCATGGTGGCTCACACCTTTAATCCCAGGACTCTGGAGGCAGAGGCAGGAGGATATCTGAGCTCAAGGCCAACCTATTCTAAGCCAGCACAATACAGAGAAACCAGTTTCAAAAAAAACCAAGCAACAACAAAAGGATCTGTCCTTTGCCACTAATCTGAAAGGTCAGCACCATCATGAGCAACCTTGCTGACTTCCCCCTGTCCAACACACACAAACACTGCCCCATCAACCAGTCTATCTATCAGGTCTAACCTTGAAGGTCTAACTACTTCCGCTAGAACACAACTTTTCATGGTTAGTTTTTTCAGTTTCGGTTATGTAATACAAATAGGTACAGAGCCAATTCTGGTAATACCAAAAGCCTACCAATAATATAAAAATACAGAAAGAAAATATTCTTTACTTGATTTGAGTCCCACAGAAAATGGACATGTTCTGATTTAAATATTCTACCAAACCTACTTTACTCTGTATAAATATAGGGCTCACAATTATTCTCTTAAAAATGTATAAAAATGTGAAGGCTTTATAATGGCCTGCCAAAATGGACTTCATTTTTCAAGTGAACTAAGTAACAGTTAAATTATGTACTTAGGAATATTTTAAATTCCTGGAAAAGTTTAAATATTATAATTAAGATCTTTCTTTTATAGCATGTCACTCTGCCCAGTACTGGAACTGCATCTCACAGTTACCCAGTGTCAAACGCATAGAGGCGGGAGAGCTCAAAGAGCCCGCCTGGGGCCTGACTGTGAAACTTCCAAAGTTTGGTGGGTGTAAGTCATAACACTTCATCACCAGGCTTTGATTACTGTATATAGAGAACCTCAAATACACCATGAAACAGTTCAGAAAGTCTCTAACAATATCCTTACAATCACTCCTTCAGTACCTACAAGGAACAAAAAGTCTCCTCTACATGGTCCATTATGTTCACTGCACGGCTTTGAAAAGCATCCAAGTCTACCCATAAAACTTTCAATACAGCAGGCTGTATCAGTAATAGAACTCGAACTGTATAAAACCAGAGCTTCACCAAGAAATCATTAAAGCTCCTCCTCCTGTTTGCAAATAAGAACTTGTGACTAGTCTTTGGCTTCCATGCAGGACGAAGTATCTGGCATCAATTTGCGATTCTTCCAAAGCCAGCTGTAAGAAAGACAGGATGTATAAGACAACTGCTGTGGGAGTGAGGGGCAGGCTGGGCAGTTCTGGGGTCTCTGAAGGCAGGGAAATGTAGAGGAAGCCTCACACTTTCTACATGCTAGGCCAAGACTAGCCCAAGTGGAAAAGTCAAGAGACAAGGCACCAAAGAAAAGGCTTCTGAGCACAGGTCCTCAGGGAGGGCTCAGTGGGACATAGGTAAGGTGATGGTCCATGAACCGTCCATGAAATTCAGTAGAGATCTAGTAAAGGTTTTACTGTACTGGGAGTTGTCCTGCTTTTAAAACTGAAAGCGGTGTTGGTATGTTGAAGCCCTACACCTAGGATGGCAGGA